GGGACTCTGAGGAGCACAGGGACTGGACTCCTGCTGGGACTCTGAGGAGCACAGGGACTGGACTCCTGCTGGGACTCTGAGGAGCACAGGGACTGGCCTCCTGCTGGGACTCTGAGGAGCACAGGGACTGGCCTCCTGCTGGGACTCTGAGGAGCACAGGGACTGGACTCCTGCTGGGACTCTGAGGAGCACAGGGACTGGACTCCTGCTGGGACTCTGAGGAGCACAGGGACTGGACTCCTGCTGGGACTCTGAGGAGCACAGGGACTGGCCTCCTGCTGGGACTCTGAGGAGCACAGGGACTGGACTCCTGCTGGGACTCTGAGGAGCACAGGGACTGGACTCCTGCTGGGACTCTGAGGAGCACAGGGACTGGCCTCCTGCTGGGACTCTGAGGAGCACAGGGACTGCCCTCCTGCTGGTCCCCAGAGTCAGGACTAAACATGCGGAGGCAGAAATTCAGATTTATGCAGCTAAAATCTCGAACAGTCTTCCTGAAAATGTGAGACAGGCGTCTTCTCTGACAAAGTTGAAATCCAGGTTAGAAACAGCCCTGTTCAGCTGTGCAAGAAAATCACTCTTTTTAAAGTACAGTTAATATTTATGATTCCTGGTTTGACTGTTTTCTACGTTCTTTCGTGAAGCACTTTGAGTTCCCCTGCGTATGAACTCCGTTATACCAACAAAGTTACCTTACCATACATTATTCTCTACTTTTTTTCTCATTCTTCCGCTCGTCACGTTACGGAAACGCGACTCTCAGGAGATGACTCGAGTGTGTGAAGCTGCGTGGTGGACCTGTGAGATTAGCGGGCCGGGCTCTGAGTGGCAGTGGCTGACACGCCGCTGTCTTCGCCGCTTGGATCTCTACTTTTCTCAAGTCGGAACATGAATAGAAGCCTCGCTTCACTCCGCTGTCTGTTCAATGCTTTAGAATTAGATCAGGGGGGATAAAAATACTGCACAGCGGGTGAGGATCTGCCGGTGATGAGGCTTAAAGGGGACGTATCGTGAGCTCTCAGCCTTAACTGTCATTCCATTACCCACCCAAAGTTTCATTTCCACTGATTCTGGCATGTTGCACTGCCCTTTGGAGAATGCACCTCCCATCTAGCCCCGCCCATTTATCTGTAATTACTTCAGAAAGTTACAAATATGGAAATGACTGATTACGCATGATGGGTATTAAAAAGTCATGTCCAACTTTCAAAGCAAAGAAATTGTCTTTTACTACAGACAATCAGGTGGGTGCCCGTTTTAGCTTGTGTACTCTCACCGTTATGAAACTACTATGAGCGCCGTCGTTTTGACTGCTCTCATTCAAACCAATAGGATTCTGAGAAATTGCCCCAATTATACTTCGTTTTTAGACAGATATATTAAAAGTCCGCAATTTTTGAGGTTTTTTTTACCTTTACTAACTCTTACTAAGTTCTAAAACTGGTATATATATAAGATGAGATCAAATAAATAAATAAATAATAAATAAAATAAGATAAGAGAACCTTTATTGGTGCCACACTGGGGAAATTTCAATGTTGCAGCGCACATACAGGACAGTAGTTAGCGCACACAGGGAGCTCACAAAATATACAAAAGCAGCTATGTTTCTAAGCTGTAGATGCGTCAATATCTCTATTTAGTGTAAAGTTATACACATAGAGGGCAGGGTAATGAGTAGACAAAGGGACATTCAGTGGACATTCTGAAATTGCAGTGTTGCACATTGCACATGATTACAGTATTTACCATTTACAGATGAAAGACATGTACAGGCTCAGCAGTTCTCATTGTGCAGTCTGACAGCAGCAGGAAGGAAAGACCTGCGAAACCTCTCCTTCACACAGCGAGGGTGAATAAGTCTGTCACTGAAACTACTCTCCAGAGCAGAGAGAGTGTCCTGCAGGGGGTGACAGTCATCGTCCAGCATAGATATACTGGATTACTGTAAAGCCTGGAACTGGTACTGGTTCTTAAAAGTTAGAAAATATGATCTGTACATAGAAATACATACAATCATAGAAATAAACCACATTTAGAAACAGTCAAGACAGACGAGTCACAAAGTTACAAAGACCAAAAATGTACATATACACAAGTAATTACACTCCCAAAACTAAAGACCGTCATTTTGACTGCTCTGGGAGTTCTAGTGTTAACAGGGATAATGATCAGCAAAAGCACGGTGGTTGAGTGGATAGCACTCACGCCTCTCAGCATGAAGGTCCTGGGTTTGAATCCCGGTCGGAACAGCGCCTTTCTGAGTGGAGTTTGCATGTTCTCCCTGTGTCTGCTTAGGTTTCCTCCGGGTGCTCCGGTTTCCCCTACCACAATTATGTTATATCCTCCAGCTCTAGTAGTCCTGATGGGTTCCTGGGCACTGTACTGAGGCAACCACTGCTCTTGACGTAAGCCTTTGTGGCATCAGGATGGGTCAAATGCAGAGGACAAATTTCCCTACGGGGACAATAAAGTGCACATTTACACCTACATTTTTACATTTACATCTCTCAGCCCAAAGAGCCCTGGGTGCAAAAGATTACTTGTATTTCAGCTTTTTTCTCAACCCTCCTCACATACAACATATCACCCAACTTCTCCTTCAGTGAAAACCATAACATTATTCCAACCCACTTTTCCCGGAGGATCAAAAGCATAACTTTTCCGCCTCTCTCATTAATCATCTCATCACGGCCGTCAGCACGCAGCCTATCCATCACGGCTCACCACGGCGCTAATATCTCCCGCAGACCCAGGCATGTGTCAGCGCCGCTAAAACTCATCCGGAGGTATGACTGTAGCATTAGCGATGGGTGTGGGCATATTTGCTGGGTAAAAAAACGCATTAGACTCCATCACCAGCCTGGGGAGCACGGCGAAGGGCAGGAGCCGGTGACTCATACTCAGTCTTTTAAAAACTGTCAAAATAAATCTCTCTATTTCAACCTTGAGTAGTTTTTGAACACTTGGAAGTAAGTTAAGGAAGTGCACATGCGGAGAAGTGCAGGTGGATTTTGGAAATGGCTACACGATATGTTTGAATAATGTAACGTCACTTTACGAGATCAAGTGCAAGTGCAGAAACCGTATGACAATAATGTGTGATAAGAAATCCTTTTGGGGATTGGGGAAATTTCATTGTCGCATTACCAGTTACAGAACATTAGGAATGAGGAGCACACAGCTAAAGATAAGTGACCAATAACTCTCTAGATTTAGATTAATAAAGAAGCAAGAATTAAGTGTAAAATATCTGACTTAGGTTGACTTTCAGTTTTTTACGTGTGCAAGCATCTCTTTCACTCATATGCTTGATTTTGCTTCAACCAATCACGGACAACTCTTAAGTCACGCACCCCCAAAGTGCTGCTTTGTCATTGGCCGAAGTATGCACACAAACTAAAGTGGAAAATAGATCCAGGTGAAAATGAGAGCAGTAAAAAGGTGTTCCTAACAACACTACAGTTCTGAAATGAGGGACTTTGGCTTCAGGAGAGACAACAGAGGCAGGGAGGAAACAACACAGACAAAGATCATCTAAGCAAAACAGGAGCGCTCCCTCTGCTCTGAACACAAAATGTCTCCATACCTGTCAACCTGCGTGGCTCTATGCCCTTACAAAGTCCAGAATTTTACCATACAAATCAGTAAAAATTCTTACGCCTCAGATAGGAATATGCCACACCCGAAAACCATGTTAATTGCATTGTAAATTTAATCCTTTAAGCATTAATCCGTAAAACTAACAAACAATAGTACAAAAATATGTTTTATTCCATCAAAACAATTAAAAGGTGCAAGACTGATCCATTTAGTTCACTGTTTGTTCTTCCTGCAATCATGTTTTCATTTTCCACGTGCTTTTTAGTGTTGAAATGAGTCTTCAAATCGTAGAATCCTGAAGCTTTTACTTTCACATCTTTCTTGCACGAACGCAGTATGAAAACTCATCTCCCTTTGTTGATGCTTTGATCATGCTTCATATGGTCCTTTCGTGGATTCCCATTCCTTTTGATGCCTACCACGGTCTGCAGTTTTCCGTTGTTTTGCTGCTGGTCCTTCTATGTTGACAAACTTTACGATAATGGTCGAGTCACGACTGTTAAAAAATAACCGGGAACTAGCTTCTACGCATGCGCAATTGCTCGTCTCTTAGCCCCGACTGGAATGTTCGTTCAGCTTAGTAGAAAAGGCCAAGATGGATTCTGGCTGGATTGTCGTCTGCTGACTTTATAAACCGTGGAACATGTTTCGAGACATTGCAGATTAACGCGGGGAAGGGGAGTTTTTTTTTTTCCCCCTTTATTTTTTTTCCCGTACAGATGATTCGTGTACATTGTACATATTTGAAATATAATTTTTCGCGTACAAATTACGGGAAAATCGTACAGGTTGACAGGTGTGTGTCTCACTTTGGCCATTTTACACAATTAGTTATTTTTATTTCAGAACAATGGAATGACGCATTTAGCATACAAACTTATTTATACCTAACATATGTATTTGTGTAATGCAAATATAATTCATTTAGGGGGACTATCTCAATATTTATTGTTTTTTCAGTCCTTGACACAATTTGAGATGAAGTCCAGTCTTATCATGTTTACAAAGGAAACCTTATCCTTTTAGTTGTAGTGGTCTATAATCGTTATGTACAATTGAGCATTTCTGTCTTTCTGAGGCCTGGGAACAAATTAACATATTTAATTTTATGAGCTCTCTTTACTATTAACTCTTTTTTGTACAATATTGTGTTTTATCCAACCCAAAATGCATTGTTATAGCCCAACACTACAGGCCCTCAGCATCTCAAAGAGTCCAGGTATTTGTTTGGGCTGCAAAGGATTTTTTAGGCTGTTTGAAATGAAATATATTTTTCCAGTCTTTCGGGTAAAGAGCAGTGAGTGGAAGCGGTTATGAAGCAGGTTATGACCGACTGAAAGTGCGACTGTTCTCTTTTCCTGGTTATACTTTATTTTCGGATATGTTCCTGGAGTTACATGATGCAGTGTTTTCCCGGGGGTTTTGTCTGGTTTTGTCTGGTGAATGTCTGTAAGTTTGTCTGTGAGCTGGTTCTGTCTTCCCTGTGGACTTACGTGTGATGTTCCTGTGTGTTTGCAGCGGCGCTCCAGGTGCAGATTATCCCGACACAGGGCGAGATCAGCCTGGGGGACTCCAAGTTCTTCATCTGCGAAGGTAAGACGTCCTGAGCGAGGTCGAGGAAACACGGTCACGGCTCTGTGATGTCACTGCTGCTGTACACACACACACACACACACACACACACACACACACACACACACACACACACACACACACACACACACACACACACACACATACAGGACAGAAACCAGAAACAAAATATGAACTTTGTATAAAAATAAAAAAAGTGCTTCTGCTATCAACAGCCGAATGTTGACAATACTTTCTCTGATAGCGTGTAATCTCGTTAAACTCTTCATAGACAATTCCAAAAGTGCCCACAACAGTCATCACCCCAAATATATTTATTTATTTTAAAAAATAGGAAACGGTTTAGATTAGCCCTCACTCATTAACAGCTATTTTAGTGCTATTTAGTGTACCCTAACCCTAGCCCTCACACAAACCCTAACACACATAGGTAAAGTGTTACATGTAGAGTAAGGACTAAAACCTGTTTAATAAATACCAATTAAGAGCTCAACGCGAATAAATTATACACTAATCAGCATTTAATTAGCTGTTAATTAGTCAGGACTAAACTTAAGTGTGACCAAAAATAATTGTGCAATGGATAGAAAAAGTTTAGTTCCATCATTTTTTGGCAAGAGCTCTGGTGTGTGCCGTCCTGGTGCACACTCGGGTAGTCTTGCACAGTTTTCCAATGTGGTTTTACTGCAAATGGCAAATACATTCTTGTATCTTGAAGTTTTCACATGTGTTTCTGGTCTTGGTCACATCTTTCGATCCGTTTTTTCAGTGATAAGACCAGCCTTACTCAAACATGTTCTAGAAAGATAAATGCCATGGTCTGATCTTTCATAAAATGTGTTACTTAAACGTCTACAGGAGGATTTTCTACTTCCGGGTGGATCATCAAGACTATTGGTCCTCCCACTGGTCAATCATTTTGGTGACACATGCTCGTCAAATAAGACCGGAGAGTTTTTTTTTTCAAAAAGGGGAGAGAGCGTTCTTCGGGATAATCCTCCTTTAAACCTTTAAAAATTACTAAACTCTGTTGGGACTCACAAAATGTAGTTATAAAGCAAAGAAAAGTGAAGTTCTACAGCTTTATAATCTAGGAAAATATTTTAAATTGGAACCTCAGTGCATACAATTGTCCTCAGCTCAGTCTGCGTCTACCTTCTCTCCCCAATATCATGGATTCCTCCCATTCCGCGGTAATGCAGCCTCAATCAATGCACCACAAAATGAGAAAGATATCCAATTTAATTATACCGCACACAAATCTCTCTGAGCATAATTTCCCCGCTAAACTGTGAAAGTGGATTTTCAGAAGAATTTGGCATCCGGCTGCAGCCACGATACACTCCAACCTCAGTGTTTTCCTCACTAAATAATCCAGTGTGTTCAACCACTGTGCTCCAATGTGTTCCAAGCAAGGGTGCACGGACCAGCATGGGTGCATACACATTTAGCTCTGGAAATGTAGAAAGATGACAATATTGCACAGTATGGCCAAAAGAGTACTTACTGTCACTCTTCTGTTGTGATTCAGGGCTATACAAGAATACATTGAACTAAAGTGGCACATAGATACCAAACACAGACCTGAAGCTCTTTTTAGCTCCATCCACGCTAATATCAGGAACAGGCACAAACAAATCCCTTCTGCCCAAGACATTTTAGTAAGAGGGCCATTTTAGTTCACCAAAATTGTCCAAGTCCCCATAAAACACACTAACTGGATTCGGGCTTTAAAATGAGGTATGACATGTTTATATTGGTTCATATTTGACAGAGCTGAAGTTGGCTGATTGACATATACTTACTCACTCAGCGACATTAGCCGCACACAAAGTCATCGACTGGATTCCAGAGATCCTGCGCTTCACAAGGAGGTATAACATGATGGCAGAGCTGAAGTTGGCTGGATGGCACTGTGAACTTTTGGTCAGCAGCAGAGGGCCACATAACATGATACAGAGGGCCGCATTTGGCCCACGGGCCTGAGTTTGGACATGCATGGCCCAAGTGCTAATTTTTCAAACTTTGTCAACTTGCAAGACTATGACACTTATAGATTATGTATAGATTCAATTTGAGAATTTAAGTATGTGCCATCAGTAAGATTGTGCCATGATCTAAATGTATGATGCTAGTAGCAGACATACTCAAAAACATGAAAGACTATAAATATTTCAGACTTTGTGAATATTTCAAGAAATTCTTTCTTGGAGAAATAAAAGCTCCAAATTTTGTCTCACATTTTCCACAACTTAAATTTTTTTGCAATTTCATTTTTCTCCAAACACGAAAACAAACAGATCCAGGACAAAAAAAAAACTATAAATATTGCCAAACAAAAAAATACAGATGTTTTTTAATAATAATAATAATAATAATAATGCCTCAAACTTATATAGCGCTTTTTTGAACGCTCAAAGACGCTTTACAAAACACATAGACTTAAATATTGTTAAGGATTTCTCTAAGACTGGAAAAGGAACCACAGACAGCATTACTTCTCCTGTGCCGCTGCAAACCACTTCCTTCACGCATTTCCCCGTGTGTTTGTTTCCAGTGGTGGGAGATGCCAAAGACATCGACTGGTTCAATCCTCAGGGAGAGAAGATCGTCCCGGACAACCCCAACATCTTTGTGAGCCGCAACGATGAGTCCACCTCCACCCTGACCATCTACCACGCCACGGTGGACAACGCCGGCATCTACAAGTGCATGGCCAGGGCCCCGGGGCAGGAGGCCGAGGCCACCGTCCAAGTCAAGATCTTTCGTAAGTCACTTTCAGTCGATCCAAGGCAACAGTGGGAAAGGTTGGCGTGTTGTTTAGACGAGTGATATACAGTCTGATCGCAATACTACGGTTTAGGAAGATTCATCTTACGCTACACTTTTTGCACTTCAACTTATGGCATTTTAAGTCAGTAAAGTTTATTTGTATGAAGCCTTTCAAAGATTAGGATCACAAAGAGCACATGTCCAATTTGGTGAATAGGGAATTTTATACCTGCTTCTTTATTAGATAGATAGATAGATAGATGTATATAGATAGATAGATAGATAAATACATGTAGATAGATACATGTAGATAGATAGATAGATAGATAGATAGATGTATATAGATAGATAGATAGATAGATAGATAGATACATGTAGATAGATACATGTAGATAGATACATATAGATAGATAGATAGATAGATAGATAGATAGATAGATGTATATAGATAGATAGATAGATAGATAGATAGATAGATACATGTAGATAGATACATATAGATAGATAGATAGATAGATAGATAGATAGATAGATAGATGTATATAGATAGATAGATAGATAGATAGATACATATAGATAGATAGATAGATAGATAGATAGATAGATAGATAGATAGATAGATAGATAGATAGATAGAAGGATAGATAGATAGATGGATAGATACATGTAGATAGATACATGTAGATAGATACATATAGATAGATAGATAGATAGATAGATAGATAGATAGATAGATAGATAGATAGATAGATAGATAGATAGATAGAAGGATAGATAGATAGATGGATAGATACATGTAGATAGATACATGTAGATAGATACATATAGATAGATAGATAGATAGATAGATAGATAGATAGATAGATAGATACATGTAGATAGATACATGTAGATAGATAGATAGATAGATAGATAGATAGATAGATAGATAGATAGATAGATAGATAGATAGATAGATAGATAGATAGATAGATAGATAGATAGATAGAAGGATAGATAGATAGATGGATAGATACATGTAGATAGATACATGTAGATAGATACATATAGATAGATAGATAGATAGATAGATAGATAGATAGATAGATAGATAGATAGATAGATAGATAGATAGATAGATAGATAGATAGATAGATGGATGGATGGATGGATATAGATAGATAGATAGATAGATAGATACATGTAGATGGATACATGTAGATAGATAGATAGATAGATAGATAGATAGATAGATGATCCCGTTGGAGAAATGCACGTGTCCAGCATCACAGGCATAAAAAAGCAATAGAAATATAATCTGTTTCAGAGCTACTTTCCCGGCGCATTCAAAAGTAAACCATTTTGCTAAAAGTTAGAGATTGTATACTTGCTTCTTTATTATGCTAAAGTTATAGATTTTATTTTATTCTACTATGAGTTGTTGTTCACTGATCTTGAGCTCTGTGCTCCTCATTCCCACTGCTCTGTGAGATCAGAATGGGCGGGTCTAACTGACACTCACTTCAAATGGTTATCTAAAACTAAAATTGAAGTAAAACTATATCCAGTTTTACACTTTGTTTTCATTGTTACTTTACTGTTATTTTAATGTTGATTTTTGTATGTGGAATACTTGTGGATCAATAAAGTCTAAGGCAGAGGGGGCCACACTGTCCTATTGTGCTAATTTTTTGCTAAAAGCTACTTCAGTATCTTAATGTAAAAATGTGTTTTTGGAGATTTTGTTTATATTATTATTAACAGATTATTACTGATGACATGTTGGGTTCATTAATTATAACAGAATTAACGTATAACATGCCATGGTAGCACACATTAAGTTACAAGTTACTCCTGGTTAATTTAATCCAGCAACAGACCGGTTTGAGGTTAACGGCCACATAGAAATGACAACCAGGCCGAATGTTGCCCCCGGGCCGAACTTTGCCCAGGTCTGTACTAAGGTTTTGTCCATGTTTTTTTGTTGCCGTGCAGAAAAGATCACCTTCAAGAACGCCCCGAGCCCGCAAGAGTTCAACGAAGGAGACGACGCAGACCTGGTGTGTGACGTGGTGAGCTCGCCCCCTGCAGACATCGTGTGGAAGTACAAGTCAGACATCATCAAGACCGCCAAAGACGGTGAGTCCAAACCCCGTCCAAGTCTGGGCTGCTGCTTCGCTCCAGGCTTCCAAGAGACGCCCTCGAACCTGCAAAACCTGTCACTATATTACAGGCCAGGAAAAATAATGATTCTGGGTCCAAAAAAATCAATGAATTGCGTATTTTTTTCCATTGTGAACCGTCTCTGAGGTGTCCTGAACAGAATACTAAAAATAATGAAATCCTGGTTGGGCAAATAGGTGTAGTCATATTTATAGGATAACTTTAATGTTTTCTCTCTATCATAATTAAACATGACGCACTGGAAGTATTCATGGAAAGTTAAATTGTTTGTTTTACAAGTTTAATTGTAATTAGAATATGCAAATGTATGATAATCAGCTCAGTAATCCCGCCTCTCCCGGACCAACTGCTGGACTCTAGAAGCAAACTAAGTCTTTCTAATCCAAATACAAGACATAATGTTGAAGAGCCAATCAAAAGCCTCATAGTATGATCACAGGACTAAAGCATTCTGGGTATTGTAGTTCTAGGATGAAGCTCTCACAATTAGACCAGATACAGTATTTCTGACTGATCTCAAACCTGCTTTTTTCACCAACACAAAACTGGTTTCAGCCCAAGTTGACGTATCCTCAGAGAGTTAAGAGACTTTTTCCAATATCCCTACGCTTTATCCCTCCCTAGAGTTCCGGAACTCTAAATACCGCCCACTTTGCAGCTCCGTTATCGTAAAATGTGTTTTGACTACAGATTATGGTATTAATGGACGTTACTTCATGTTACATTAATAAACAGCTTTACCAGTCTGAAACATTGCTTTAATCAAATGTAGATTTTATTAACCAGACTATATTAAAAATGTGCTTTTCTAAAATTACAATTATAGTGATCAGACTGCAATTATGAAAAGTAATTTGCCGATCTCCCCTGGTCCAAATCTGAAGAAACTCCATTTATCACCTAAACCTTCAGTTTCAGAGTAATGCAGTCTGGGAAACAATTATTAAAAGATCATTATAATTATTAACTTTTCAAAGGTTACAAGATTACAATATCACACTCAAATTAGTTATTTCATTGAATAAGCTTTGTTCAGAATCATGTTTAAATACCACCTTAATAAATGTACATATTTACTAATCTTCAAAATCTAAAATCAATCTAATCAATCTGATCATCTAAAATCAATTTTAATATGTTTCCCAGTAGCAGTGGTGGTAGTAGTAGTAGTAGTAGTAGTAGTGGTGGTAGTAGTAGTAGTAGTAGTAGTAGTGGTAGTATTAGTAGTAGTAGTAGTGGTAGTAGTAGTAGTAGTAGTAGTAGAAGTAGTAGTAGTAGTAGTAGTAGTGGTAGTAGTAGTAGTAGTAGTAGTAGTAGTAGTAGTAGTAGTAGTAGTAGTAGTAGTAGTAGTAGTAGTAGTGGTGGTAGTAGTAGTAGTGGTGGTAGTAGTAGTAGTGGTAGTAGTAGTAGTGGTGGTAGTAGTATTAGTAGTAGTAGTAGTAGTAGTACAACAACAGGTGGTAGTACTTGTAGTAGTACAGGGGGTAGTAGTAGTAGTAACAGTACCACAGGTAGAAGTAGTAGTCATAGTGAGAGTAGAAGTAGCTGGTCTGCTGAAATATTTGTTGGTAACTTTAAAGGATCTAGTATGGACAAAAACAACCAGGAGTTTATGCTGTTCATATTTACCATAATTGACACCCTGCCTCTATCATTAATACAGTCAGTCCAATGTGTACTGTGTGTACGTGAGGTGTCTGGTAAACGTCTTGCACAGGAGTGGCTGTTTGAAAGTCAGGTCTTCTTCATATATCTTCCAAATGAGTGCTGGCATTTGTTCATCTCTATTCTTAAGCACCTTCTGCCAGAACAGATGCAGAATTCAATAGAAATGTTCAGATCGCTTTTTAGAATTTACCTTATCAGTTTGTCGATGAAGGAATGTAAATCCAGCAGCATATGGCCGTCCAAGTCCAAACTTCCAGAATAATTGGGTTTGTGATTAGATTCTTATTTCTACAATAACACGTGGGAGCTGCATGATGTATGGTGCAGCTCTGCATTCAAAGTAGCAAAGTAACCACGAAACAACAAATCATATCGGGGTGGGGGGGCAGGTCCCGGCTCTAAGGGTCCATGAGCATGTGCACGGACTGACATGCTTGTAATCTGGATTATTTTCTCTACGGAGGACATAGGCGTCACAACGTCCGCTAAAATGTATCACGACTCCTACTTTTTGACTCCACTTCACAATAAACATTTGATTTTTTTAAAGGGAGACTTGGCCAAGAGCACCCTGGGAACAGTTTACATTTACAACGGAAAAATCAAGGACAAATAACTCTCAAACTTCATTATTATTGATATTTGTGGACAGAATTTGCTATTTTTGTAGATACAAAAGCGTCAACAAGACGATGCATTTTGGAAGAAGTGCTGCGGGCCCAACAGGAGTTTTTGAGGGCCTGATTTTGCTCCCGGGCCACAAGTTGAATGGACCTGCCATAGACTGTAGAGGGAGTGGACTAACCGAGTGCTGACGTCATTGGGAGTTTAGTTTGCTTCCTCTTGGACGAAGTTGAAAAGACCAAACTCAGGCAGGAATCTGGAACCTAAGCAACCAAAGAGCCAATTTGTATGTCTTGTTTATGACTTACATTCAGACTAATTTGGTCTGCTGTGGTGGATCCTGTTATAAGCTGTTCTCTTTATAAAAGTATTGTCTCCAAATTAGCTTTAGTAATGTCTCTCTGCAAACTATAACACTGTATGTACGATTAAATGTTCGATGTTGAGATACAGTAAATAAATCAAGTAATTCAAGTGCTCCCTCTGGTGGTAGAAGTGGGGAATTACACCCTATGATCATTTGTCTTCCTTAATACACATTTGTCCATATATTTTCTAAATTAGTTCTGTAAAGGTAAAGCTTCAATTTGCTTGTTCCATTTTAGATTTTGATCCAAACCGTGTTATTCTCGTCAACATATTCCATGTTTAAAATCATGCTTATAATTCTACATGTTTTTTATCATTTTTTGAAACTTGTAAATATTCTCAAGATCATATTTCAGGGTCAAACATGATCACAAATACAGCTCATGAATGTTCACCTTAAATGGTCCTACACTGAATCCAAACCTCGCAGAATGTGTTTTTCTCTCCAAAAAGCTTTAATTGTAACAGCCCCGCTCACACACTCGGCTCCTTCTGTGGAGTCTATGAAGCCGACACCTCACCATATGCTGCGTGGTGCCGTGAATATTGCTTTATCAGAAGGAACAAGTGCGGATGCCAAAGGATTTCTCTCCAAATGGTGTGTTCGGCACGTCACGGGTTTGTAAACGCACAACCAGAAAACTGGAGATCCATCACCGACTGTTGGTTTTAGATCCAACATGCTTATATCAGGAACCTCTGGCACAAACATGTAACTCCGCTCCCTTCTGTTTAAAAGCTCCTGCATACGTTTTGTATTTTGCCGGCTGCATTTGCCGTTTGCAATTATTACATTTTAGAGAAAAGTCAATACTCTTGCAGGCCAGTAATGCCATTGACCTGCCCTTCAGCAATCGGGCACGACTAAAAAGCATTAATTACTCTTGATATTTGTGTTACTGTATTTTTTCTCCTAATATTATATGTCAGATTGGTGGCTCATAACTTGTGCTTCACATCAAGACGGTTTTGGCACAGTTTGCATGTTCTCTGGGTGTCTGCGTGGGTTTCCTCCGGGTGCTCCGGTGTCCTCTGGGTGCTGCAGTTTTCTCAACTAAAGCATGTATAATAGGTCCGTCATGCACCTCCTGCGTAAAGGCGACCCCGCTCCGTCATTGAGTCTACAACAATTCTAAGACACTATATAAATAAAGCTGACTTACATACACATACTAAACGAAACATTAAACGACATGTAGAAAAATGTGTATTATTTGTTTAATCTTAAATTGATTATTGTGGTATTCTTCCTTGTTCCCAGTGCGATTCAAAGTGTTGGAGAACGGACACTTGCTGATCCGCGGCATAAAGAAGGCGGACGAGGGTCTGTACAGCTGTGAGGCTCGGGTCATTTCCAGAGGAGAGCTGGACTTCAGGCACATCAAAGTGGTCATCAACGGTAAGCACGGCCTTTGGTTAGAAATTTGACTCTTTTTTATTTCTAAATATTAAAAAGCATATGAATCTACTAAGCATGATACTATTCCTGCCGCGTGGAGCCCAGTATAGACCCACTGAATGTTTATGTTTACATGCAGTGATTTCGCACATGTGACAACTCTAAAAAATCTTGGCTGAGTCACGAGAAAATACCAAGATCTATAGATAGTACTGTCCTTAGACCCTCCTGCATTGGTTAGGAACAACTCAAAAATCACAATAAAAAAAGAGAGAAACCTGAGGGATGCCCATATGGGACAGCGGGTGAATAGCAATGAACAGACTACAGCTGAAGTCATGATGAGGAAAAGTAAAGTAGGTGAGAAATGTCATGATTTTAAATACCAAAATAACTAAAGTAACAAAAACCAATGGCTTCTTAATAATAATGAAATATGCTTATTATTACTTTTGTTATGTTTTCTGCATTTTTTATGTAAATCTTGAAGTTGCGGCAATCGAAATATCCCAATCGACCTCATCCCGGCTCATCGCTCCACGCCTAATTTGAAAGAGTGTTTTCTGAATGTCGAGTGGTCATTGTTGTGTGTCCTGATCCTCCCAGTCCTGCCCACCCTTCGCCCACGCCAGTCTGAGGTGAACGCTACAGCTGAGGAGGGAGGCACGGCGCTGCTGGCCTGTGACGCTGACGGCTTCCCTGAACCCACCGTCAGCTGGACACAGTAAGTCGTTCACAAGATCATATGTTTGATGACGTTTGGAATGAACACACTGATGGATGATGGGATGCAAATGGGTGTGTTTCCTCCTCCTCAACTGGGCTGAAAAGACCTCTGTGATTTCAGATGACCTCACTTTCAAATGACCACCAATCCTTCAAATATCATCACATAATTCCACATAATGATTCAAAAAGGTTCATTTTGTCTTGAGTTAAAATACTTTCTGCAGCCGAAACATGTTAACAAGGTAATACATCCAAACTTGTCTTTCAAAAGAACCGAAAAAAAGCAAATCCTTCCACATAATATCCACATAATTCCACCTCATTTATCTCAGCGTTAGTTAGCTATATCTTTAGATTCCAACTGTCCAAACTCAATTAAATTTGCCAATACAGATCAGAGAAGTCACAAGTTCAAAAACAAGATGTGCAAAAATAAAACAAATAATAATAATAAAAACATTTGGCAGATGACCAATGTTCATAAAAGTTGAAAAAGTCCATAAATGTTGTTGAATGTTGAGTGTCCTGGATCATCAATACTGTCCTTATACCCTCCTGCATCGGCAAGGAACAACTCTAAAAACTCAGTGGGAGAAAATGAGAAACCTCTGGGAGGCCGACATTGAGGGAGGGATCTGCGCCCACAGACGGACGGGCTGTAGATCCAGGACTCAGGCTGTAGAACGAGGACCGAGGACATGAGATGCAGGACTGAGGCAGCTCCCAGGCGGGGGAGGGGGTGCAGCCCGTGAACTGTAGTGCGTTGGCGAGGTGAAAATGTCTGCTAAAAAACACAATAGAGATAAATAGATAGAGAGATAGATATTTTATTGATCCCCGTAGGAGCAATTCAGGTGTCCAGTCGCAGCAAAAATAAAAATTAAAATGTATAATTCTAAAAAGCTAACGATGGTAATAAAAAGCAACTGCCCTTCAGGTCACAGCAGCAGAGGTGGAGTAGCCTCTGGGTGGAGCAGGACAGGTCACAGCAGCAGAGGTGGAGTAGACTCTGGGTGGAGCAGGACGGGTCACAGCAGCAGAGGTGGAGTAGCCTCTGGGTGGAGCAGGACAGGTCACAGCAGCAGAGGTGGAGTAGACTCTGGGTGGAGCAGGACGGGTCACAGCAGCAGAGGTGGAGTAGCCTCTGGGTGGAGCAGGACGGGTCACAGCAGCAGAGGTGGAGTAGCCTCTGGGTGGAGCAGGACAGGTCACAGCAGCAGAGGTGGAGTAGCCTCTGGGTGGAGCAGGACGGGTCACAGCAGCAGAGGTGGAGTAGCCTCTGGGTGGAGCAGGACAGGTCACAGCAGCAGAGGTGGAGTAGCTCTGGGTGGAGCAGGACGGGTCACAGCAGCAGAGGTGGAGTAGCCTCTGGGTGGAGCAGGACGGTCACAGCAGCAGAGGTGGAGTAGCTCTGGGTGGAGCAGGACGGGTCACAGCAGCAGAGGTGGAGTAGCCTCTGGGTGGAGCAGGACGGGTCACAGCAGCAGAGGTGGAGTAGCCTCTGGGTGGAGCAGGACGGGTCACAGCAGCAGAGGTGGAGTAGCCTCTGGGTGGAGCAGGACAGGTCACAGCAGCAGAGGTGGGAGTAGCCTCTGGGTGGAGCAGGACAGGTCACATCAGCAGAGGTGGAGTAGTCTCTGGGTGGAGCAGGACGGGTCACAGCAGCAGAGGTGGAGTAGCCTCTGGGTGGAGCAGGACAGGTCACAGCAGCAGAGTAAGTAGTAAGTAAGTTTTTATTTATATACCGCCTTTTCACTGCAGATCTGAGTCTCAAAGCGGTTTACAATTGTTAATTTTGGGCATTTGTCTCTCACTCCGCACAGAGATGGGAGCGGGGTCGCCAGTACAGGAGGCGCATGCCAGAACTATTGGACATATTTTTAGTGGTAGGGGAAACCGGAGTACCCGGAGGAAACCTACGCAGACACGGGGAGAACATGCAAAGTCCACTCAGAAAGGCCCTGGTCCGACCGGGATTCGAACCCAGGACCTTCTTGCTGAGAGGCGAGAGTGCTATCCACTCAGCCACCGTGCAGAGGTGGAGTAGACTCTGGGTGGAGCAGGACGGGTCACAGCAGCAGAGGTGGAGTAGCCTTTGGGTGGAGCAGGACAGGTCACAGCAGCAGAGGTGGAGTAGTCTCTGGGTGGAGCAGGACGGGTCACAGCAGCAGAGGTGGAGTAGCCTCTGGGTGGAGCAGGAGGGGTCAGAGCAGCAGAGGTGGAGTAGCCTCTGGGTGGAGCAGGACCATTTTATCTGCACTAGTCCAAAGTAACATGCTGAAGGATTAATTAGCATTTTTCTAAAAATGAGCATTTCTCCAGTGGATTTTTGCCTGATCCGCTTGTTTTAGATCATAAATCCTCTCCGCTCCCGTCTGAACCAGTGCAAAACCATGAACTTCTCTACAGCAACATCTCAAGTGGAAAAAAGCAATAAAAATAAATAAATGTAAAGCACAAAACAACAACAACAAAAGATGCAGCAGTCTGGGATTATTATTGTCGGACACAGCGTTCACACGGTTTTATTCCAAGCCACACATTCAGAACATAGATGCGTTGGATTCAACCTTTAGAAAACCAAAGCGTTGAGTGGAAAATGACTGACTTGTGTTACCAAACAAACATTCCCTATGGCTTCTTCAAAGTGTACGCTCTGCTCCTGTCTTTCTATCTGGATGGAATCTGATTGGACAGTGTGTTGTGGGGTTATCTGTGCCGCTCTCTCTGGTTGCAGCGTCACTGAGCACACTGCAGCAGACCTTTATATAGTGCGACATATGGCCGGCCCGGTTCAGGTGTGCTGTGTTAGCACACCAAACTACTACCCAGAGTATTGTGTAAGTGACTAATGAAAGGAAATGACCTTTAACTAGAGACCGAGCTGCTATATTGGAATGTGCTGTGGTGAAGCAGAAACTATCTTTAACAGACCCACACTGTGTAAAATGACTTCTTATATTGTTCCCTGGTCAAAAACAGACCATGGTAATATCAGGGACTTCTGGTATCAGGAAATATAAAGTACAAAAACAGTATTGGACATGGCTTTTGTTTTTCTGGATTTTTATTTTGACCAAACCTAACGACATGCATGGAAGATCTCCACACCTATGGGAGTCAGCTATTCTTGGGTTTCATATGACGTCAGGGCAGTGGCACGAATAACAAATGTAGGACAGGACGTGGTGTACCCTGGCGGTGCAGTCTGCCGGGTTTATACACGGACATATAGTAGAAGAAGAAGTGGTTTATACACGGAGATACTGTATAGTAGAAGAAGAAGCGCTGTCAAAATGCCATTTTTGTGTGCGGTGTACGCTTGTAGCAACCGCAAAAATAGAGAGAAAGACCAGAGTTTGTTCATGTTCCAACTGTGGTCTCATATAAAGGAGGACACTTTGAAAAAATCACTGGAATGAGGCGGGCGAGGTGGATCAAGGCTTTCCAAGATAAGCGCCCCCTGCAGGCCACCCCAATGAAACGCAGCAATTTCTTCTGTTTTTCTTTCCAAAAATGCCAGAAATCAAGACTCTTTTCAGAAATATTTTTAGTACTCCCTCAGAATTGAGTGTCCCCGATTAAGACTGTTCCAACAACCGTACACCGCACAGGAGGAGAGCCTTTGACTCCAAACTGAGTTGTCCCACCTCTGCTCATTCTCCCCCTACTGACTTTACTGTGTGCCCTCAGTGTCTTTGGACCACGTCAGACCCTGTCAGAAATACAGAGTCGCAGAAAGCCCCATGAAAGGTTTTCTTCATTTTGCAGAATGTGTTTGTTAAATGGGTATTAAGTAGGATTTTGGTACATTTCAGATATCAGAACAACAACACTGTACATTGTAGTAGCAGCACATGTTGCTATGACAACACATAAGGACATGCAGGTTACTCACACCCCTCTCATGAGGTAGAGGGGTTTTCTCTCCCAGTGCTGGTTTACAAGTGAGTGGATAGCACTTTCGCTTCTCAGCAAGAAGGTCCTGGGCTCCAACACCAGTCAGAGCAGGACGTTTCTGAGTGGAATTTGTATGTTCTCCCCGTGTCTGCATAGGTTTCCTTCGAGATGTGAAGCGTCTTTGAGAGTCCCAAACCGCGCTGTATATAACCGATGTATTACATCTAACTCCCGAACAAAAGGCAGAAAAGTGAAACACATCAGGGCGGGGCAGACAATCAACACAGGGGAACAATACAGGAAGTCAAACTACAACCAAACCACAGGGAAATATTTTCAAAATAAAACCAAAGAATTAAATATCCTTGACACTGTAACTTTGATTGTCCGTCCATTGTCTGTCCCAGTCTGTTTGTTTCTGGCTTGATTTTAGTTCTGGATTTTTGTGTTTCATTGTTATCCTGGATTTACTTTGGGTCTCTTTTTTAATTTCTCTCCATGACACTAATTTGTATGTGGTGTCTTTGTCATAATAGACATTGTGTCATCTTTTGAGCCCTGGGAGTCACAATCTGACCCTTTTAACTGAGCGCTCATTTGACTTTGAAAGATAAGATAAGTCAAGAGAGCATTTATTCGTGACATGTGGGGAAATGTCAGTGTTGCGTCACCGGTTACAGAACAGTGGGAATGAGCAGCACACAACACTAGATAAATGAACAATAACAGTCTACACTAAAATCTCCAACTTAAGCAAAATGCAGAAGCAGGAATGTGATAATTTAAAGATATGCAATTGTTATTTTTATACATAATTAATCAATATTTGATGCATGACACTCAAAACCACGACCCAAAAAGACAATCAAACCTTATCCTTCAGCATTACCTGTATAATTATATCTTGTTACAAAGCCCACACGTCGCGCCGAGGAAGCTGTGACAATCGGCCTCTCGTCACCGAATCCCTCAAAGGTGTAAATTGGAAAAAAATGTAACACATAATTAAACATCTCCATATCACCGTTCTCTGTTCCCTTTAGTGAGCGTGTGTTTGAAGCAGAGAAGAGAAATCTCACTGCGTTTCATACACAG